AGCCAGACACTCAGAACTATCACTCACAGAAAGAAGCAACCGAGGTCGTAATAGCTAGGAGGTTACTTCAAAGGCCTAAAAGTGAGGACTTGTAGTCGTATCCTTACGACAGTTCGGCTGTCGGTTTCGAGCAGGTCGACCGTGTGCTCCACAGAGTATTGTAGGGACGGGACTTGCTATGCATCTATCTCATTCTGTGGCACTCCCCCAGCTGGCCCCGATGTCCAGAAAGAGTAAAGAAGAACTGAGATGGGAGAAGGCGCAGCCCCACGTCCTGTGCGCCATCACAAACAAGAAAACAAAAGCAAGGGGAGTCGGAACGGATCACAGCTAAGTGGGGGTGCCATAGAGGCCGCATTAAGGAGCCACTGGAACCTGACTCCCAGTCAGTCATTACACTCTAGTCACTGCTAGTCAGTTATGCACTGACCTGACCATTGTCCGAGTTTCGCCTCGATTGTTAGCCTTCCAAGCCACAGCCTTTAATGCACCGTGATAGTTTCGAGCGGATCACATTGTTTATAGTGAGGAAAGTGTGCTAGGCCGTCAACCCCACTCTCTCCCATACCCCAGACATAAGGCCACCGTCTGAGCCGGGGAGGTGTCTGATACGGATTAAGCGCAATGGCTATCAGGGTCGGCTAACTCGTTGACGCACACTTTAAACTACTTTACAAGATCCGAATGAAGAGTAACGCTCGAAGTTAATATGTAGTTCATCCTCAGGCGCTTTGAATCACTTTGCCGTGAGCAGAAAGGGAGATCATAGACTTAATGTTAACAGTCCAGTTCAGTGGTTGAGCAGAAATTCCGCGAAACAGCCGGCAACTTAAATGCCGAACGAAGTCCACTGCAAGATGCCGAACAGCCTGGTGGAATTCGCAACTGTGAAATGATCATTGAAGGTTATCTGTTTGCAAAAGGGAATATAGCAAGCAAGACGCGACTAGGATTTAAAACTTCACGTGCTTTCTGCCATGGCTCAGTGGCGGAACGCTAGACTACTTAACGCTCGATAACCAAAGAAACCGGCCTCGATTCCCGAGTCATTCAAGCCTGGAATGACCACCTCCGGCTCGTCAGCTGTCATCAGCCGGGCGCCCTTCTACCATTACTATTATAACCAACCACAACCGACAGGACAACGAGCCAGTGTCAGAGTTGTAGCCGGCGCCCAACAGTGCTGTGCACAGCTTCCTTGTTCAAGGCTAAGTGCCTCAAGGTCATCCACTATCTCAGTCAGCGCTTTCAGAAGCGCTGACCTGCAGACACTTAACCGACTTCCACTCGAGGATAAACGTGAGTTCAGATTGTCGCGGCTGCCCGAGCGCCACTTGAAAGCGCCTCTTTTCCTCCCTCCCGTTCTCGACAGATACAGCATACACCGCCAAACATGACACTACTCGGATAACGCCATACGCATCAATCGGAGGACACTTGAATCTGCTCCGAAATCTTATTAAATAAGCTGCCACCACCGTCTTACACTCTCTCAGGCCCGACTGGACGCAGTCAACACTAGCCTTCATTTTGCCAGTTGTCACTGCCGCCAACACAACAAATCCCTCCCATAGGCGCCTTGGACCTTTTACCTACAACTCGGGATTTTGGCCTGGGGATTGTAGTGCTCCGAGTAAAAACACTACTTAGATCCCACAGGGCGTTGTACTTTTAATCAACGGGTCACCAGTTCCAGCCTCGGCTGTTACAACAGCTAGGGTTTTGTATGGCTGGCTAACAACTGATGAGCTAGAAGTAGTCACCCGAATGTCTCCTACCGTGATCGATAAAGATGGTCAGAAATAGCGGAAAACTGAGAAAACTGACCTTGAAGTTGACCACTCTTTCGTGCAAGATACCCTCTGGGAGATCATCGTCGCTTTCGGCATGCGTTGACACAGTCTGGTCGGCGGGCAAAACTCGAAAGATGTGGTCCTCCACCTTGACGTACTCGAATAGGTCAACAGGACGAAAGTCGTTGGTGTAGACTTGGGCATCAAGGAAGGCGGTCAGCTCGGAGAGGTTGGAAAGTGTGGCACTCATACCAATTATACGTGTCTTGGCTGGTAGAAAAACACAAACAATATTTAAAAACTCCTGTTTTTTAACTTCCTCAGAGCTCAAGCGCCAAATCTGAGTAAGCCAATCAGAGTGAAGCTGTATTAGTTCAGTCCGAAAAATGCTATAAATATTTGCGTCGAAGTCGATCAGCCACAGTGGTATAACAGCGTAAGACGCATAGGCTGTCAGTGGGGTCAGGTAGTATACACGATAGTTTGACAGTCTGCTTCAGCAGGCTTAAAGCAAACGCGGTGTCTTGCGTGCTATTTAGTTTTAAGAGATAGACTCGCGCTGCAGCTACCACATTTTCCCTTCCTTCATCCGTCCGTGTCCGGTGTCAGACGCAGGTTGTCGGCACGAAATTCGCATTTATGTGTACTATTGCGATCCTTGGTCCACAACAAACACCTGACCAGGGTTTTAACATGACACACAGTGGTACGGATCCCAGCTCACACACACAGCCCATTATAGACCAACTGGTCAAAGCCTACACGTGACCAGGGGCAGTAAACAGAGGTTACATGATAGAAAATACCGATAGTATAGGCACCGGCTAAAGCCCAGACGCGTGCTTTGCCGACACGTCACTGAATGACATTTACGAGACATCCGGTTGATCAATGACTCCGAAGGCCAAAGGAGTCACTTGTGACCAGAGCATTGGATTTATAAATATTAAAAAATTCTGGTGTCAATGATTCGGCTGGGTACATGATACATGAGGTAGTGAATCGCCAGATGAGAACATGTCATGGGATGCGTTGATTTATTGTGTCTGGATCTTTAAAAACTGTGGACAAAGCAAGCTGGCAGTGCGCAAATGTCCAACCGCACAGG